CAGGTCCAGGACTCAAACCAAGATCGACCATGTGAGAATCCAGCACCCTTAACCACCAAGCCATCTGCCAGTCCTGAGGTATTATTCTTCTAAACAAAAAAAAGTGACATGATTTTTAAAATAAATCAATATAAATTTCTTTTTTAAAAAGATGTATTTATTAATTTATTCATTCATTCATTTTCATTTGACCAGAGAGAGAGACAGAGAGAGAGGTAAGTGAGAAAGCAAGCCACCAGGTCCAGGACTTGAACCGTGGTCGGCCATGTGGGAGTGTCCAGCGCCTTAACCACCACGCCACCTGCTGGTCCCCCCAATATAAATTTCTTATCTTTGGATTGAGGTGGAAATTGAAAATAAAAGAAAAACTTTCAACAAAGTAGAAAAAGATGTTCAAAACTGAAACATCCTTTATAAGATCTTCCCTAATAAGGCATATCTTACTTGTTCTTTTAAAAACAAATTTTAATTTTATTTATTATTGTCATTTCCGTTTTCTATAAGGCAAATGCTCTCACCAGAGAGACAGAGAGAGAGAGGGAAAGGAAGAAAGCTAGTCTGGGACTCAAACCATAGTCAGCCATGTGGGAGTCCAGCACCTTAACCAACATGTCGCCTGCTGGCCTATTCTATTCTTAACAGTCCATTCTACTCCTTCTTTTCAACACCTACATATCCATTTTGTACTTTATGATTTACGAGTTCTTTATATGCTCTTATATATAAACACAGTTATAATACATGTATGTACACAATGTATGTGTGTGTATAGCTTCCTAACTACATCTTTTATTTCTTTTTTTGGAAAGATTTTTGCTATAGGGCACGTGCACAGAAAGAGAGAAATCCCCTCCCCTCCCCCAGGGGAGATGGCCACACCGCAATCCCTTCGCCATTCTCCTCTTGGGATCTTGGGCACGCACGCACACGGACCAGCATGAGTTTAAGCCACGGGGTCCAGGACTTCATCCACGGTCAACTACATGGGAGTCCAGTAACATAGCCATTACGCCAACTCCTGGTCCCCATCTTTTATTTCTTAAGTGTGAATAAGGAGACACAAATTCATTCACTCTCTTCTTGTCATCTCTCTTAGGATTCTCTACATGTACTTCCAACTCCAACCCTAAACATCTTGTCTTCTACTACTCTCTCTGTATTCTCCATCTCTTGGTTACTTCAACACTTGGCACCCAAGTCAGAAACCTACACATTATCCTACTCTCTTACTGTCCATATCCACACCTTTGCCAAATCTTGCGAACCTGGTCTTCTGAACTTCTCTTGAACCCAGTCTCTCTTCTCTATCCTCTTTGAGAGTTTGTTAATCTGGTCCAACCAGTTGTTGGCTGACTCATACCACAAGTTTCCACAATATGATTCCTGGGGAGTCCAGCTCATTGGAGCTTAAACCTCAAAAGGTTTTCTTTCTTCTGATAATTGCTCCCAACTGTGTTCTATTGAAAAATCTTTTTATATCAGGCTCCTATAACTTTCCAGACAGTTTATTACAAAATAATGTCATTTTTCCATCTAATGTTTACTCTGTTCATTCTTTAAACTCTCATTTTCAAGCCAGCTAGTAACATAGTGATTAAGGCAGCTGGATCCCACATGGTCAACCATGTAGTCTGAGTCCTGGACCTGGTGTTTGAGAAACATAATGTGTGTGTGTGTGTGTGTGTGTGTGTGTGTGTGTGTGTGTGTGCATGACCCGAATCCCAAGAGGAGAATGGAGAAGGGATTACCATATAGCCATCTTCCTGGGGGGTATTTCTCTCTCTCTCTCTCTTTTTCATTTCAAGTGAGCACACACACTCTACAGCAATCTAAGTAATAATAAAATAAGATAAACTCTAATCTCCAACTCCATACAGCATCTGTTTCCTGCTCACACTCGTCGTGGCATGGAGCCCGTGGTTTCAGAGCTTAGAGAAGTGGTAGGAGATATAGAGGTATCTGCTCTCCACTCATATTCTTCCTTTTTAGTCACAAGCTTGTCCAGTGTGCTAGGGCCAGGAGAATGAAAATCGAAAGGAACAAACATTTTCTTTTTCTATCATTTTATTTATGATATTTTAAATTTGCTGTAGGGCCTATGTGTTCATGAGAGAGAAACAGAAAATGAGAAAGCAAGACAGTAGGTTGAGGACTTGAACCACAGTCGACCATGTGGGAATTCTGCGTATCTTAACCACCACACCACCCGCTGGCTCCAAACAAACATTTCTTATTAAGCTAGGTAAGACAACAGTTTCTCCTTGGTTGGTGGCTACTGCTGTTATCAATGGGCTTGATGTACATGGATGGTGAACCCAACATTTGGCAGTAGCGGTTCTCGGTGAGATTCACCAGCACCCCCTTACTCCGACACACACACACACACACACACACACACCCCTAACCAGGTGCTATACTTACTATTAGTGCATCTAGTCAATGGCTCTACATCTTCGCTCCTTACATGTCAACACAATGACCCCTGAACTCCTCTTTATAACACAGATGACTCTAGGACCTGCTAGCATGTACTAGACCTATCATTCTTAGCTCAGAAACTGGGAACCTACTAGGCCCATTCTAACCTCTTCTCCACGTGCAATTCTTCTCGACGTTGTCTCTTTGATTTTCCTTTCTCTAGTTCACATGACACTGGATAGGGTCAGCAAGTTCAATGCCCAAGAAGCGATCTCAAAGGGGAACAAACAATAATCTTCCCTTCCTGTGTATACCCCTAATATTAAAGAGCAATTCTCTTGAAATCCCCTCCTTTCCTTGGGTTTAAGGGAGGGAACAGTCTTTCTCCAAGAACTCTACACGTCTTCAAAAAGTATTTGCCAAAAGAAAAATTAGCCAAGTTATAGATTTCCTGAACTCTTGCTTTCTGTTATCTACTGAAAGATTGTAGCAAAAGGCTCCTGGGGAATTTCAAGAGCCACTAAGGCTTTGTTTTGAAGTTTTTAATTTTATTTTCATTTTTATTTAGTTTTTTACTTAGTGAAAGCTTTTATTTCACTATAGTCATTTCAGCCAGCTAATGAAACAATGCAATGTTTAGCCCTTCAAAGTTGGATGTCAACTCTGTTTTCGGCTCACATTTCAGATGCTAAACACTTCTCAAATTTTTGAAACATGTGCAAATCATTCTTTGAGTTGAGCCAGATAAAAATATTTGTGAATTCGGAGAGGTACAAAAGGCAGTAGACTGTTGTCTATGTTTTGATGAAATTCACTTCATTGTTTATAAAATCCTTGACATCCCGATATGCACCATACACACAACTCAAAACACACTGCAAACGTGCATGTCCAAAAGCCGGAAACCCCGAATATGATCAACTTTGCCTGGCCACAGGGAAATGCTTGCCACCAACATCAAATTAAACTACACCAGAACTGCGTAACAGCCAAATAACACTTCCCAGAAATCTTCAAAAATGGTTGAAAGTGTTCCTTTCCATGGAATTGCTTGACACTTTATGAATAGATACAAGAAGTTCACTTTTTGTAAATGAGTCCATTTGGCAAATTAGGCATTTGATGACGATCAACCAGGCGTGACAATGAAGTGCGCAACTCACATCGGGCCTGCTGCGGCCTCAGAGCACTGGATTGGAACCTCCATGGAAGGGTGCTCTATCTTAAGCAACACGGGAATAAGACTTACATGTGCACATGGAGCAAGCAATCCACGCCCAGGCACACACATTCAGGGTATACACGTGACACAAGGATAATCTCTACAGAGAAAATTACAGACAAGGAACTACACAGGGAAGGGTGGGCAGCCCACTGCAGCAGGATAGTCTCCCAGGGGCAGAATCTTGTGTGTGGAGGGAGTGGAGGACTGGTGGTATCTTGCTCACTGAGTTACCTGGATGGGGAACTGTCTTTGGAAAATGGAACCAGTCAGCTCCCCCAGGCAAGCTTAAATCAAGTAGGAAAACAAAAAACAAAAAACAAAAATCTTGCTTGACAAATGTATAATAATAACCATGTGGATACTAGCTATTATTTATTAAGAGGCTACTAAATGCCTGGTATTGGTGAGGAAAAAGAAGCCAATTCTTTGGCTAAATAAAATAAAAATATTAACTTAGACTCAGATTAAAACTTGCCCTAAACGGGGCCGGCAAATGGCGTGGTGGTTAGGGGACTGGACTCCTGGTTGACTGTGGTTAGCATCCCAGACCTGGCAGCTTGCTTTCTCACTTTCCTTCTCTCTCGCTCACTCCGTCCATCTCTGATCAAAATAAAAAATAAGTAAATAAATAAATTTAAATAAAATCATTCTTTAAAAAAAAATCTTACCCTAAACAATATATTCTTTTTTCTTTGTTCTTTTTTTCAGTTTTGATTTAGACCTTATGCACTTGCCAGAGAGAGAGTCAGAGACAGAGACAGAAACAAAAGGTTAGAAATCACCCCCCAAGCAGGGAATGGCAGTGCCACAATTCTTTCCCCTCTCAAGATTTTGAGCACGTGCGCCCATACATCTGTGTGCTTTTCAAGCTACCTGACCGCACTTGAGTGGCACAGTCAGCCACATGGAATCCACCTGCCTCAATTGCCATGCCACTGGCTGGTCCCAACATATTCTTTAAACCTCAAAACTGTACAATCTGAGATACTTACTCTCAAAAAATAATCCCAGCCAACCACATACTCCCCTCCAGTTACTTACAGCAGGCCTCTAAGTACATTAACTGGAAGGGAGCAGGGAGCAGTGGCTTCCTAACTCTACGACAGGCATTCGATGTACCTCCCAGAAAGAAGAGGCAATGCACCCTGACATGGGAGACAGGCCCTCCCAACAAGGGCACCTCCTATCTGCAGAGAGAGGAACAGCAACTCGAGCAATCACAGGACAAACGAGCTCAAGAAGGACATCGGACACAGCTTTTCCCAGTCGAGGTATTCCCAGTCTCTCTGCCTTCCACAATGATAGACAATGAACGTGGAATTTTTCTTTCTGGGTTTTTTTTTTTTCTTCTTTTACACACTGTGCAACCCCTTCAAGTGCTCACAGCCACAGGTAAGGAGACAGGCAATGGTTTGAGGCTGCCGTTTACTCTGGCATGGGTACACTATGAGAAACAGAGAAGAGAAGAGCCCACCATGAATCCATTGCCATTCTCAGCGGGATTTCCCTCCAGTAAGATAGGAGTTGTGTTCACTCTCGTGGACTTGGGTGGCTACATGCTCCCCTAGAGCGGAGGTGAATGTGGCCAGAGTGTTCTCGAGGCTTGAGGGGCTAGCAGCACAGTGCCTTGTCACCCTGAGGTAAGCAGGACTCCAATGTCATAGCTAAGAAAATTGAGGCTCAGAGCACTTGTTACTGTCCAGAGACACATGGCTAGGTAGTGACCGTCGATATCCACTGTACTTTGAGCCCTGGCCCTCTGCAATACTTTGTTAGAGGTCTCCATGCTCTGCATCTTATTTAGAGCCTCAAAACTCAAAGTGATAAGACACATAAGATTTATTACCCCCTCCCATCCCATATTTATCTAGGTTTTTTTTTTTATTCTCTTCCCTGGCATTTACACTTCTAGGTGGGATGCTTCAACTTGCATTTTTTAATTTTTTTTGTTTGTTTTTGTTTTTCTTTTTGTTTTTGTTTTGCTATAAGATGCATGTGCTTGCCAGAGAGAGAGAAAAACAGAGAGAGGGAAAGCACGAAATCACGCCCCAGGGGGATATGGCCATGCTATGATTCCCTCTCCATTCTCCTCTCAGGAATTTGGGCACACATGCACACATGCCTGGCATGATTTTCAAGCCACCAAGTCTGGGATTCAAACCATGGTCAGCCATGTGAGAATCCAGCGCCTTAACCACCATGCCACCTGCTGAGCCCTCAACCTGCATTTTACATAAGGGGTACAATTAAAATATTTTCCATTTCTTTTTATTATTTGATATTTCTAAAGTTTTCAAATAATCCTTCATATTCTAAATATGAACTATTCATAGGGCCTACTATTTTACTCTATAAAATTTGTTCTTTTAAAGACAGTTTTCCTACAGGCTAGCCCACAACCTCGTGGTTAAGAGAGCCAAATCCCGCATGGCCAACCATGACTCAGCCAGTGGAACTTGAGAAAATGCTGGGCATGTGTTTATGTTTTCCCAGATTCCCAGCAGAATGGAGAAAGGGAGAAAGGATTGTGACCATGCCCACTGAGGGTGCTTTTTCCCTCTCCCTCGGTCTCTCTGTCCCACAAGAGCAAGTGCATGCGCCCTCCAGAAATACACATGTGTATATATGGAAAGAGTTTTCCTAAACACGTCTGCTTGATACGGTTGCAGCTTAGAGTTAAGAGACTCAAGATCAATTCAGCATCGTCTCGAACTTACCCACTGACCTGAGCCACATGCTAACGGTGTGTTCATTTCCTTCTCTACGGGCTGACGGGGAAGCTCCTAGTCTTCCTCCTTATGCATTCATGAAGCACACGAGTCTGATTCACCCCTGTCCCCGGAAGGAAAAGCTGTGGCAGAGTGTCCCGTCTCTGTGAAAGCTGCTCACGGGACGTGATGCCATGGTGGCACTTGAGAGAAATGGCCTTAGCAGGCAGTGTCGCAGTCCATTCCGTGTCGCTGGAACAGAGTATCACAGACTTGGTAAGTTAGAAAGAAAAGAAGTTCCTTTCTTTCAGTTCAGCTCTGGAGGCCGAGGTGGCATCCAGCGAGGGCCCGCGTGCTGTCTCATCCCATGGCCGAAGGCCAAGGACAAGCATGCACCCAACAGGGAGAGAGCTCGCAAGAGAGCCCGCGAGAGATGGAACTTGCAGCCTCATGGCCCTCTGTGAGCCATTTATAATAGGCTCCAACCAGCCAGGGGCATGGTGGTTGAGGCAGCTGCATACTACATGGCTAACTGCACGGTTCAAGTCTCCTCAGTGGCTTGAAAAACACACCTAGTGCATGTGCATGTGTGCCCAAAATCCCAAGAGGAGAATGGAGAAAGGGGATTGCAGCATGGCCATCCCCCTGGGGAGTAATTTCTCCCTGCTCCCCCCACCACCACCACCTCTGTGTCTCTCTCCTCACTTTTCCTCTCTCTCTCTCTCATGAGCACACAAGCCCTATGGCAATTTTTTAAAATAATTTTTGTAATAATTATTTTATTTAACTTTATTTATTTTAATTTGACTAGAAAGGGACAGAGAGAGAGAGAAAGTGCGAAAGCAAGCCACCAGGTCTGGGACTCAAACCACGGTCAGCCATGTGGGAGTCCAGTGCCCTTAACCATCACACCAGCCCAAATTTTTTTTTTCTTTTTTAATTATAATAGGCTCTACCTGACCTAAAACCCTCCCACTAAGCTTCACCTCTCGACACAGTCGCATGGAGTTTCCGTCCTCAGTACGTGCCTTCTGGGCACACGCTCAACCCATAGCAAGCAACATTTCTTAACTCATTGTTGGGAAAACTGTTCTTCTATTTTCCTTCGGCTTAATCCCGTATCTTCTGATTCTATTGTCAAAATATTGTTGAAATTCTACAGCTAACACGTTGGACATATTCTACATGTTCGCCCTTACGTGGCGTCAGTAAAACTCTTTTTCACCCAACGTTTCGCATTTGTATGTGTAAACAACTCTATCCCTCCTTTGTAAAGGTCTACGTCACAAGACGATTTTTTTTCCATTGGAAGCTTTGACCCATACTACTCTGAAAATCTAGGACATAACTGTCAAAATTTCACGGGCAGTTAATTTTTTACTAATATACCTGAAGAAATGGCATGAAAAAATAGTCAAGTGGGATTAGTATAAAATTTTCACAGAATTCACCGTTCTTTAAATAGTTCAAACTGGCGGGCATAAAGTTCATGTACATGTTATTTGGTTTTGTTCATCTTTGTTTAAATTAGTTCATCCATTTTTAAAGGCATCAAACAGAGATCTGAGAAGAGTAGCAAGAAACAGGCACTTGCTATTTTTTTTTTTAATAAATGCTTGTGTGTATATGCACTCGTAAGGTTGTAAAACAATCGATTTAAAATGTTTTCATTGATTGATTGATTTTACCTTCAATCTCTGTGTATCAGCACAGCCTACCCAATGCATGTTCCCATCATGAATACACTGTGTGTTTGTTCAATCAAAGACATTACCATACACATTAACATCAACAGATCATTTTATATTTGTGGGTCCCTAAATTGTTCAGCTTCTTTCTTGGCCTAACTTGGGGCACAGCTGGGGTAGCAAACTGAACTACAGTGCTGGAAGCCACATGGCCAATTGTGGATTTGACTCCCTGGGCCAGCTTGAAGACACCAGGTACATGCACAGGTGTGCCTGGGGTCCTGAGGAGTTGAAGGGCCAGTGCAGAGGGGCCGTGGCATGACAGATTGCAGACTGTTTCTCTCAATTTCTCAATCTCTCTCTCTCCTATGTGTGCTCTCTATCATAAGTAAAAGAAAATAAACATTTTTTGCAATTTGCTAGAGGGCACATGTGCTCTCCTGAGAGAGACAGAGACAGAGAAAAGAGCGAGAGAAAGTAAGAAAGCACTCCCCACACACGGGGGGTGGCCATGCTGCCATTCTCCTCCATTTCTCCTCTCAGGATTTCAGGCGTGCACGTACTCATACCTGGTGTGTTTTACAAGCTGCCAGGCCCAGGACTCAACCATGATGCTGTGAGCCACGTGGGATCCAACCACCTTAACTACTATGCCACTAGCTAGCCCAAGCTTAAGTGAATTTTTAAAATAAGTTTGGTATTTTTTTGCAGGCGTGGGGGTGTGTGTTTGTTTGCTTGCTTATTTTGTAAAGAGACTTTTTAGCTATAGAATGAACGCATTCACCAGAGAGATAGAGAGAAACAGAGAGACAGAAAGCAAGAAACCAGCCCGCATGCTCCAGCGGGGATGGCTGCACTGCCATCCCTTCTCCTCCATTCTCCTCTCTGGTTTTTGGGCACGCACGCACATACACCCAGCTTGAGTTTAAAGCAGCCAGATCCAGGATTCGAACTGCAGTTAACTACATGGAAGTTCAGCAATAAAACCATTACACCATCTGCTGGTCCCTTAAAATAAGTTTTATGAGGCTGGCAGGTGGTATGGTAGTTAAGGTGCTGGACTCCCACATAGCCAACCATGGTTCAAGTCCTGGACCTAGTGGCTTGCCTTCTCACTTTCCCTTTCTCTTTCTCTCTGCCTCTCTCTGGTCAAATTTTTTTAAATGATGATAATAATAACAAAATAAAATAATTCTTTCAAATACATAAAATAAGCTGTAAATGTGAACATCTTATCTGTGAGCATTTCTGATCGATTTTTTAGAAGAAATCACTTATCAAGTTTTTTTTTTATTTATTTATGATAGGGCATATTCGTGTGCATGCGGGAGTGAAAAAGAGAGAGACGAGCACCTTCATGGTGTGTGGTCATGCCACGATCGCCTTCCTGCACCCCACCTGCCAGTCAGATCTCGGGAGCTACACACTTGCCCAGCATGTTTCAAGCTGACCCAGCCAGGGATTTGAACCTGGGTCTACCATGTAGAACCCAACTTGACTTCTCCTGAGTTTTGCATTACCACTGCAGCACAGAGCCAGCCTTGTGAACTTCTTTAGAAGAGTAAAGAATCTATCGTCCTGCCAAACCTTCTTTTACCATAATTTTAACTACTTGGATGTCAATTTAAGTAACTGGAAGTTTTTATCAAAACTGTTTATTTCTTATTAGAAACATAACTTCTTACCATAAATTGATATTATACACTGTGGGGCAAAAACAAATCTATTCCACCATGCTTTTTTTTGTTTAAGAATTCTTTTATTTTAACTTTATTTATTTATTTGTTTTCATTTAAACAAAGAGGGACAGAATGAAAAAGAGAGAGAGGGAAAATGAGAGAGAGAGAGAAAGTGAGAAAGCAAAAAAAAAAAAAAACCAGATCCAGGACTTGAACCATGGTCAGCCCTGTGGGAGTGTCCAGCACCCTTAACCACCATGCCACCTCCCAGCCCCCCAACTTGTTTTTATTTTGCTAAAGAAAAAAAAAAAAAAGAAAAAGAAATTTCAAACTTTATGTTTTCACTCAGTTTCATTTTTTGTATATTTTTTAAGAAATATAGTGCTTCTGTAAGAGATTCCTAAATATTCTTTTAGAG